CGAAACAAGATCATGCGATGAAATGTGCTGTAGATATTACTCTTTAAGAGTGGGACTTTTATCTGTATAGGGACTACAGGATCAGCCCCACGTAAATATTGTGTAATGATTGTTGTGGCTCCAGTCCACTACAAAAAAGCATGGGTTCCCAATCATGTAACCTAAACCGTCAGTTTAAATAGCCAGTGCATCCGAAGAAGTGGGTTGTAGCCCACGAAAGCTTATGCTCTAATAAATTTGTTAGTCTCTAAGGTGCCACAAGTACTCCTGTTCTTTTTGCAGTGCTTCTGTAGTTTACATCTGAATACGCTGAGTATAAAAAGCTTAGCATACTGTACATTTAAAATGGATGCTGCAGTTTTCTTATTCAAACATTTCATCCTCCTTTAGTGCTTCTCCTCACTCTCCTCGACATCTGCCCCTCACAGCGGACCATTTTACAATGAGGAATTTGGGAAGGGCTTGGTTTGAATTATAGAACCATAGAAGGATCATAGAAGACTAGGGTTGGAAGAGACCTCAGGAGGTCATCTAGTCCAACCCCCTGCTCAAAGCAGGACCAACCCCAACTAAATCATCCCAGCCGGGGCTTTGTCAAGCCGGGCCTTAAAAACAGGAGTAAGCCTTACTCACAGGAGCGCCAACAATTTCTAGCACTAGTAATGCTTACTCACCATTAGTTGTAATGGGGTTGCTTGTCCGTGTTCTGAATTGATGACCTTCCCCTGATCATTTTCTCATGACCACCTAACTGCGAAAACAAAGATAATCAACTGTTGGGGTAGAGTACGCAGCATAAACCGGACGGTTCAGAGTATTTCCTTGACAGCTGTTACTGAAATGCACCAAATTACCTGAATATAAACAGTCACTCTGACCCAGACATGCACATATAGATTTAGGTATGTCCTCTGCACACGTACATGTATTCAGTACGAGTTGCATGCGTTTGAAGTCATGAGTATAGATTTACATTAAAACTACTTTTGATTTGACCTATTCTCGCTGTCCCGGTTTTACTATAGGGCCTTATGAACCGTCCCTCTCCCTAACAGACTCTGTAAAAGCTCTTCTTCCGTGGCAATAGATTAGAACACAGGCTGTTGAATGTAGCCTTTTTAGTGTCAGAGCCGTACATAGACTCAGCAATGGTTTACCTGATGGACACGCAGCTAAACTAGAGCTGGATTGCTTTGAATGTTGCTAAAATCAGAACATTTGAAGACAATTCATAGCAGAGCATGTGTACTGGGAAAATCTAAACACTGGTTTTTGTATATACACGGTGGAATTCTTTACCCACCTTTTTTAAAATGGAGATTATCCTCGTTCATTGTCAATACAGCTCATGGGGTTTTTTTAAAATTGCTCTCACCTGAGTCGCAGCAAAATTCTTCTTATTTCACTAATGCCTATTAAACATAAGGCCAAATCCTGCTACCTTCATTCTCAGGGATTACTCGACTAAATGAATAAAATTTGTCCTAGCAGGGACCATCTATGTTATTCACTTTTACTCCACCCCTTTAAAAGAAGTTTTCAGGGTAGCATTGTTCGTCTTAGAGCTCTTCTTTAAGAAAACCAAGTTGCTTCTGTAGACCAAAAATGCATTTCTACTTTTATGCAACTCGTATGTTTTGCCATACATACTAGCTTGGTGCTAATTACAAAGTCTAAAATAAACTGAGCTTGATGACCAAGGTGAGATCTGCTAAAAATGTTTTTCTGTAAATGAGGCATTTCCCTATTTTTGCTTGTGTGCTGTTTAATTTGAGATACTGAATTCAAACTTTGATTTAAAAGAGATCTTTCTAGCGTGTTCCTTGAGAGGCCTGTTTCATTTTATATGTTGATGATTCTTCACAGCAGGTGACTGTAATTTCCCAGCCCAATTTTTGCAGTCCATATTTAGACTGTAGGAGAAACTTGCTACAGTAAATAATGCAGGATCTCTCCCACCGTTTGTATGACTGAATAGGACTGAAAATTCACTTGCTGAGCTTCATAGTAACACTGAAGCTATGCCCTATGACAGGATGTGCGGAGGGAATTTAATCTCTAATATGATTTTGGTTGATCAAATTTCTCCCACTTATGCAATTGGGCCCGATCCTGCTTCCACTGAAGTCATTAGGAGTTTTGCTATTGACTTCAATTGGAGCAGGATTGGGCCCATTACACATACGGTAACTCCCCCACCTCAGTAATCTTGAAGCTTCTTTCCATTTAGTTTAGAAAAATAGCCATCTCTTAAATAAAAAACAGATATTGTAGCTTTCTTATTTTTTGCTTTTTTCCCCTGGAGTAATGTACCAAAGACTGTACAAAACTAAAGGCACAGGGTTTTTTCTTTTCGGGAAGGGGACTGGCTTTGTTTTAGCATGACTATTCCCTTAATATTTTAATTGGAAACACAAACTTTAAAAGGGACCGGTTCTGGGTATAAAACTATTATTCTGTGAGGCTTAGATGAAGCTGTTGACTGGGGTTCACTTTTATAGTAGCATTCGAAGCTGGATAAATGCACACAAATATCTTAACAACCCTTTTTAGTGTCAGGGAATTTCGGTCACTGATACTATCGAAGCAATTTCAAACGAGTTTATGTACCGTGGGGTACCTTAAAATTCTCGCAAATAAAAATAACGGGTACATTTTCTCTTTCCCCTATTAATGAGGGTCATTTGGACAATTTATATCACAAAGCAAGAACAGCATCATTTAAAACACAGGGGAAAAATCTTGGAGGCAGGAATTAATGCCTAAACTGTGTTTACTCCCATATCTGTAATGTTATGTCAATCTCTCGTCCAGGAGACGAAGGGTTTTGTTGAATTAATAAGATAAATGTTGAAAGCATATTATATGCAGCCTTTAATCCTAATGTCAGAAAAATCGTAATTATGGGGAGGATAAATGAATTTGAAAGCCAACCATTATCCAACTCCCTGATTGCAAACTATTTCTATTCGCCTCTGTGAAATGCTTTCTTTCTTTCTTTCTTTCTTTCTTTCTTTCTTTTCATCTACGTTGTGTTGGGAAGGATGGAGATAGGTGAGGAACTGGTAAAAAGCCAGTTTTTGTTCTGAAGGTGCCATCTGTATAGTGGCCATGTAAAAGGACCTTTTCCTTTACAAATAAAAATGCAAAACTTATTGGGAACTTTCCCAAAGCTTTGAGAAAGGCAGGCTCGCTAACGGGCTAAGGGCTGTACCCGCTTCTAAAAAGAGAGCAATAATGTGAACCAAAAGGGTGGTTAGGCAGGGAAAGGGCGAGCTGCAGCACCGGGCGGCCCAGCCTCCATAACAGCTGGGGAAAGTACCAGCCTCGCCTTTAAGCGCCAATACAGGCCGGTGGAGTTTGAAAGCAGTCCCCGGGTGCCTTTGATATGGACCGCGGTTCCCTGCGGAATCCGTATCTAGCCTCGAGGCGCTCACACCTAGGGGCCATTCCTCTCGCTGCTGCTGCCAACCCTGCCTCCAGCATCCCCCCTTCTCCGTCTCATCCTAGCGCAGGGAGAAGGGGCTTGCGGTTCCTCTGCAAGTTTGCTTTAGTTCTGCCTGGTCCTTTTTTTGTGTGGATTTTCCCTTCTCATTGTAAAGTGGTTTATTTGATGGGGCTTTATGGGGCTTTACGGATCCCCTTCTCTGGGGCTCTTTTGTACTGGGGGGGGGGGATAACCTAGTGCAGGAGAGTTAGGTGTCACTAGTAGGTAGAGGGGCCGCTAAACACAACCATAACCTAGTGGATGTAGAATGTGTGGACGAGAATCCCCCAGGGAGTCTATTCCAGGCGAGGCACACTATCACCAAAGCTCATGGTCTAAAGGGGACCTGAAGGGAGCTGGGGTTTAAGACGTTGCCTTTGGAAAGCCAGAGGCGGCAGAGAGAAGGGGGGAGGGGAAAGCAGTCCATGTTAAGCCGTTTAATTTCATTCTCTCTCTCTAACTTCCCCCAGGGGCTTTCACCTATGGCTGCGGGGTACCAAGCGGATCTGGGTTGGTTTCCCGACGGGACAAAGCCATGTGAGAGCTCAGGGATTCTCCTCGCCCCAGTGCGGAGAGGTCAGTGACAAAGCAGGGCGCTGTCCCATCAGAACCATCCTGCTCCGCCTGCGCTGCTGCGAGGGAGGCAGGGAGGCGCAGGTCAGTGGGTTAGGAGTTCTCCTGGTCCCTTCTTTTGCTGCGCTCTCGGCCACACTGCCAGCCCCAAGAACCCCTTCCTGAGGGGACCCAAGGTGTCAACTTCCGACACTGCTATCAAGCCAAAAGAGGAACCCCCGCCCTCCGTCCTGCTACCACTACCCTCCCCTCATAACGTTTCATCTCTCCCCCCCCCGGATGTGCAGAGCCTGGACTAACTCCCTCCTTGCTATTCCTTACTGCTAAAACGTGTTTATTCAGAGGAAAGGCCCTTGTTTATTCCAGGGCTAAAGAAGAAAGGTTCAGAGCAGCGAGAGAGCAGTAAAATATCCCAGACGAAATGGGTGGAGGGGATTTATTATTTTTATATTATTATATTTCATTTTAGAAAAAAATGACATGTATCTTTCATAGTCTCTTTGCAGACGAGAGGGGCTCCCAGGAGAAAGACCCTGAGTACATTCACCCTGGAGGAAACTGAATGCCAAGCCCATCTTACTGTGGGCAAGAGGATTTTTTGGTTTCTAAAATGAAAGGAAAAACGACAGCAATAGACCACAGAATAGCCTATGACCTGGACAGACACTTGCAAGACAAAGTCAGCGCCAAGGCTCTTCCTTGCATTGTAAGACCAAACCCCGTTGGCTGAATAGTAACATTTCCGACAGTCCGAGTCCTGTCTCGCTCGTTTTAGATCCCAAAGTTTAATAGTTTGTGCAATTCCACACAGGGCTTTAAAGATCCAGAGAATACCTCCCCAGCAAGGGATCTTTGCTGAATGAACAAGAGGAGGAAAAATTCTGCAACTGCACGGGGCCCAAAACCAGGGAGTGGATTGGAAATGCAGCGAGATACTTGCAAACAGGTGAAGATTATCTTCAGAGCGAGCAAAGGGATTGTGTGTATCTAGAAGGGTGGCTATTGGGCCAGGATCATTTGTTATACACTGGCGGTTTAGCAATGAAATAAGAATGGCTACTGTAACACGGGGACATCTAAATACCCCCCCCCAACCTACTGTTAAACTTCGTCTTAGCCTAGTTAACAGCTGCAGAGTGATGCTTGCTGACTAAGGAAGGGGGTTAAATTCTTCCCCTTAATCCAAGCAAGTATCTAGGAGTTTCCCCCCTCCAGGATCGCCATCTGTAATGGGAGCGCGGTCTCAAGGTGAGAGCCTCTAAGAGGAGACTTATACTGGGACTGTTTCTCCTTCTTCTGAGATCCAGGCTGCAGTTGGGCTAGAAATTCTTGCTGCCCACACATACAAAAGTCACAATCATCATCATCATAAGAAAAAGCATGATGAAGAGGTTTTCATGTCATCCCTTTAAAATAAAAGGTTCCTCTTTTATTCTTAGGCCGCAAAAAGCGCTTTAAGAGGATGCTCTCAAAGAATTGGGCTCTGGGATCCCAAGGAAAAGGTGGGGGGCGGGCAGCACCTCCAGGAAGCGAGCAGGAAGGGGAGAGGGAGGGGAGACAGGCAGGGAAAGCGCCGAGCCTACTAAAGAGTTAAAGGGAGGGGACGTGGGCTGTCACGCGTCATTGGGCAGATTATGTGCAGCAAACAAAAAGTGTGCGTCTGTGTGCCAGTCAGTCACTGCATCGGGTCCATCTGCACAACTCGCCCTCTCTCTCTCTCTTTCTCTTTCTGTCTCTCCTTCCACCTCTTTGCACAGAGCACCCAGGACAGCAGCCCTACTCTTTCCCACTGCCATGGAAATACACTGATACAATAGACACTGGGGGGAACACGGAGAGCAGCCCATCCTTGGCCACTTTCGGGTTTCCTGGCGTTTGGGATTATATTCTGACCTGATTCCTGGTAAGTAAATATGCGTGCGGGGGGGAGCTCGGGGTTGGTTTATTTTCTTCTCCCCGGGTTTATTTTCTAGCAGTAAAAAGGACGGGGGAGACACGCCGCCGGGCAGATCGATACAAAGGAAAGGAGTTTTAAACAGAAATAGACGGGGGTTGAACATTGAGCTCCGCTCGGTGCAGGGAGACAAACAATGACTGGAGGTGGCTTTGCTTTTGGCGAGCGCGTCTGGCTGTGGAGAAGGGGATCGAGGAGAAAGAGAGGACCACGGGGTTGGTTTTTGTTAAGCAGTGGGGGCAACAGGGAGAAAGCGAGGCAGGGAGCTCTGTGGTCCCAGTGTGGGTGTGGGGGGGCGGTTATTCTTGGTGTTAAACCCCTGGTCCAGAGGAGCGTTCCCCGGTATTGTTACACAGAATTGCGTTTGAATGACGCTCCCACCTCCACTACAATGAAAAGCTTGTGGGAAAGGGATTTAACATTAAATAAACAAACAAGGGAGGGAGCTCGGGGGAGGGAGAGGCTATATCACTGAACTGCAGGGAAATGAAAGGAGACGAGAAAACAGGCACGTTTAAAAAAAAATCCGAGAAGCGGTGGGTTATTTGAAGCTCTTTTTATACTGCTCCGAAACGGGTAAGGGGGTGGGGGTGTCTTTCGCCACCGTAGACTAATCAATGAAGTTGCACGTTTGAGGGTTTAATTTCGCTCTGGGTGAGAGACAAATGTGACACAGATTAGGGCAAAATACACCGGTGGTTTGGAAATGCCAGTTTTAGAGGCATGGTCTAGTGTTTTTTTTTTTTAAATCAGTTTTAGAATCGAAGTGCTTAATTGGATGATAAATCACAGGAGGATAAATCAGCGACAGTAACAATATTATTCTATAATCACCTGTTTTCAATAAATAATTAGGGGCCGCTATTTCCTGGCCCTTCCATCGCTGGCTTCTAAAGAAATAAGTTACTGAGGGCACAGTTCTCTCTTAAAATATGGGGAAAAGCCATTTAAAAGGGTTTTATACAGTCTGCCGGTAGAATTTTTTTTTTAAAGAAAAAACAAATAATATAGATCGATGCCACTTTAAAAAGCACCCACAAACTAAGCTATTGGTAAATGGAGGCAGAATTCCTAACTAGTGGTGCAGCTATTCATCCCTCTCTGGGCTTTGTAAACCGGAGTATAGAGGATCGGTACTTTTTGGAAAAAGCTAAGCCGAGGGTGATTTAAAACGGGAAGCCCCAGCGCTAGACACCTGCCAATATAACAGTCACGTTTTACAGCAGGAATGTCATAGATGGGAAAGTCAGAATTCACAAATTGTATTCACAGCCAGAGGCTTTGCTGCTTGTATCGTACCTGCACAGTCACAAGTCACATTTGACTGAATCTCTCCCCTTGTATGACACGGTAACTGGGATTCACCCTCATCCATAAATAAGCGTGTCGAGGTAAAAAATAATTACCTCTGCTTGCTGCTTTTAATTAAAGTCTCGGAGGGAAAGTGGTGGATTATGATAATGAGCAGACATACGTTCCCTCTTGTAGAGTAGAGCTAAAGGTTAGCTGACATGAAATCAGTGACATTGACAGTCCACTTGAAATCCATTCGCTATGCTCTTCTGTCACAGCGTGCAACAGAGCACCGGACCTCTCTTTAGAAGAAGAAGAAGAAGAAAAAACCCAGCACATCAGCTCGACAGAATCCTGCTCGGATAAAACCTCCTGAGCTGCGTTTCTTTTTGTGCAACTCCTCGAAGTTGCTTTAGCTTTAGAGGGTCAATATGCAGATCCTCCCCCCCCCCCAGTGTATGGCTAATGCACAGAGCCACCTCTTCTGTATTCCTGTTATTAGGGTCTCCTAATAAATGAATCCCCGCGACAGCTTCCTCGAACCTCTCCTTTCATTCATTTCAATACGCCGTCTTTATTTTTTAAATATTGCACCGATGAGAGCGGCTTGCCTGTGCTGCCAGTTTTTCCAACATTTTAATTAGGAGTCACGATTAAGTAGAACGTTTTTAATCCTCATTTTCCCCTAAAATCAATGACACTCTTACTTGGTATTAAAAACAAAACAAAACGTGTTCCGTGCCCTCCGTACAAGTTATGTAACGCGTCTCCTTCCCCTGTTCTCTCCGCCCGTAGTGATGGAGGACACCGGCGTTCAAAGGGGTATATGGGATGGAGACGCCAAGGCAGTCCAGCAATGTTTGACGGATATTTTCACCAGTGTTTACACCACCTGCGATATCCCGGAAAATGCGATCTTCGGCCCTTGTGTATTGAGCCACACTTCTTTGTATGACAGCATCGCTTTCATAGCGCTTAAATCCACTGACAAGAGAACCGTCCCTTATATATTCCGGGTAAGGATGGTTTGGTTCCAAGATGTAACCGCACTAAATTCTCTCCCCGCGTCCTTTGCTTTTGCAAAGGAGCCGCTGGGACACCAGGATGCACTTTTGGAGGGTGGGGACTGAATTCACGAACGTTTTCCACTTCACCCAAGGTTTTTCCATACAGAACTCAAATTGCCCTTTTAATCGCTTGGTTGTGCCGATTGATTAATACAGATCGGGCCAAATTCTGCTCGCCTTCGCCACACCCGTAACCCCGTTGACTTCAAAGGGACTACTCCTGTGATGAAAGCCAGCAGGATTGACCCATCATCAGCTGTCATTTGCATATGCATCGAAAACCTTTGGAAAAAACCCCAGATGATTATGGTTGTAGATGCCTTTCCAGAGCTGCTGCTTATGGTGGCATTTAAGATAGACTGAACAGATGTTTCAATTTTTAAAACATTTTAATGGATTTAATGCTCTTTTAGCAAACCTTGCTCTCCCTGTACATCTTTCCCCCACCCACAAAAGAGGAGGGAGAAGTGATCATTTGGAATCCTGGGAGGTTTATTTACATTATTTCCTTCACATAAACCTTATGCAGATGTGGTCATGTAATTGTGGCTTTATAAAGTTTGGGAGAGAACAGGCCGCATTCACGTTGTCCTTTGCTAGCACAAATCAATTAAAACGTTTAAATAGTAGCTGGCAGGATTCAGTGGCCCAGAAAAGCCACATGTATTTTTCAAGACTTGCACACTTCCGACAAGCGCCAATGTCTGTCCTTTCCGGAGCCCGGTGAAAAGTCTGTGGGGGTGAGGAGTGTGGGAATACTTGGCCACCTCTGATTTCTTGCATTCCCTTCCTTATGTAGGTGGACACTTCCGCAGCAAATGGCTCCTCCGAAGGGCTAATGTGGCTCCGTCTGGTCCAGTCAGCCAGAGATAAAGAAGAACAGAACCTTGAAGCTTACATCAAAAATGGACAATTGTTTTATCGGTCCCTTCGCAGGATTGCCAAAGACGAGGAGTTATTAGTTTGGTATGGGAAAGAACTGACGGAATTACTGTTGCTCACCACCGCCAGATCCCACAGCAAGATGAACGGTAGGTGCTGCTTCCAGGCCAGGGTTCTGTATCTCCCCCGAAGAGCTGGGTTGGGTTATCTTTTTGTTTTGTTGTCAAGAAGCGATTTAAACCGTTTAATGCCAGTGATAAAGATTCCGGTAAGGAATATGCAGCCCACAAAGTTAGAGAGAGGCGAGGTGCGGACTGAGCTGAGCAAATTAGCTTGACTAAAGGGATGTTAATTAGGTAGTCCAGAGCATCACTTATAAACATATTGGAAATGCAAGATGAGATTAGGGGCTACAATCTGTTAGTTTAGACTCCACGGGCTCAAAAGCAAAAAGTGACACGGATAAAGGGTCATTAATTATTAGATGACTATTCTGGTAGAGCCTAGAGGCCCTAATGATGGCTCGGGGCCCTATTCTGCCAGGCCCTGTCCACACACAGAGTAGAAGCCGGGCCTTGCCCCAGAGAACTGAATGGACTCCGGTCTCCGTCCTCTGCCAGTCCGACAAAGATGCGCGCCCTCCCCAGAGTTAGCGGAGGGGGTCCGTGCTGCCGGCCCGGAGCGGTGACTAATCGGTGGTGGTTGTGTGTTGTGTCTCGGTGCAGGGTCGCCCCCGTACGCTTGCCTGGAGTGCAGCCAGCGTTTCCAGTTCGAGTTCCCCTACGCGGCCCACCTGCGGTTCCGCTGCCCCAAGAGACTGCCCAGCTCGGAGCCCAGCCCCGCCGAGGAGCCGCGCGGCAAGGACAGCGGCAAGGAGCCGGCGGCCAGCCTGGGGCCCGGGCCCAACAAGTACTGCAAGCCCGGCGGGCCGCTCCACCCGCACTACCCCAGCCCGGCCCAGGACAGCAGCAACGCCAAACCCTCCACGGACTTCCACAACCTGGCCCGCGAGCTGGAGAACTCCCGGGCCGGCGGCAGCTCCCCCAGCCGCAGCCCGCACCCCCCGGCCGGCGCGGGCAGCAAAGCCAAGCGGAAATACCCGGAGGGGCCGGGCGAGGAGCGGGGCCAGGGGGCCGGCAGGGGGCGCCGGCCCTCCTCCCCCAAGGAGGACCTGGTGTGCACCCCGCAGCAGCAGTACCGGCCGGCGGGCAGCTACTTCGGCCTGGAGGAGAGCGGCCGCCTCTTCGGGCCGCCCAGCCCGGAGACGGGCGAGGCCAAGCGCAGCGCCTTCGTGGAGGTGAAGAAAGCCTCGCGCGGGCTGGAGGCCGAGGCGGCGGCGGCGGAGGAGGCGGCGGAGCAGCAGCAGCGCGCCTCGCCCGCGGGCGCCGGGGACCCGCTGCTGGGCGCCCGGCCGGGCGGGCCGCTCTCCGGGGGCAGCCCGGCGCGGGGCAGCGCCTTCACCACGGTGCCGCAGCTGGGCGGCAAGGCGGAGGAGCGGAAAAGCGCCTTCTCCCAGCCCGCCCGCTCCGCCTTCCCGCCGCACGTGGCGCCGCTGGGGCTGGCCCCGAAGCTGGGCAGCCTGGGCGAGCCCTGCCCGGAGGCCGCCGCCCGCCTCTACCCGCCGGCCGCCAAGCTGCCCGGCGGCGCCGAGCCGCCCAAGCAGAGCCCCTTCCTCTACGCCACCGCCTTCTGGCCCAAGAGCTCGGTGGCGGCGGCGGCGGCCGGGCCGCTCCAGCTGCCGCTGCCCTCGGCCCTGACCCTGCTGCCGCCCTCCTTCACCTCGCTGTGCCTGCCGGCCCAGAACTGGTGCGCCAAGTGCAACGCCTCCTTCCGCATGACTTCCGACCTGGTGTACCACATGCGCTCGCACCACAAGAAGGAGTACGCCATGGAGCCGCTGGTCAAGCGCCGCCGCGAGGAGAAGCTCAAGTGCCCCATCTGCAACGAGTCCTTCCGCGAGCGCCACCACCTCTCCCGGCACATGACCTCCCACAACTGAATGGGGAAGTGGTGGGGGGGGGGCTCCCCCGTGTATAGTGACAGAGCCACACACACCCTCCCAGCAGCCAAACGGCCCCCCCTGGCCCGCCTCTGCCCATCGCTGGGGGCCTTCTCCGGGGCAGTCACAGCAGGGGGGGATGTGATCCCCGCGGGCCTACCTTTTCCAAGCTGATTTGGGGTGTTTCAGAGACAAGGTGGGTGAGGTGCTATCTTTGATCTGCTGGGGAGAGAGAGGAGCTTTCCTAGGGTGACCAGATAGAAAGTGTGAAAAATCGAGACTGGGTGGGGGGAAATAGGTTCCTATACAAGAAGCAGCCCGGAATATTGGGACTGTCCCTAAAAAATTGGGACATCTGGTCACCCTAAGCTTACCCCGAGCTCTTCTTCAGGTTTTGGGGGGGGGTTGTTTTGTTTTTAGCAACCGACCTGAGATACCAAGGTCAGATCTCCACTTGCCAAAATTAGCCTACCTTCATTGTCTTCGATGGAGCTGTGATAATTTACATCAGCGGAGGATCGATCTGGCCCTTGATTTTCAGAAGGCAGGTACCTAGCACTTTCTGATAATCAGGCCTCTTGAAGGTTTCTCCATTTGAACAAACACCCCAAATCATTAGTCACTTTTGAAAGTGTAGGCCTTTACCTTGCAGCATACCAGACCAAGAGGGGGAAGGGTTGGATTTTTTTTCTTTCTTCTGTTCGAATGCACGCATTTTCACTTTCCCAAAAAAATAAATAAAAATAAAAAAAGAACTTTAAAACTAATAAAGTACATTTTTAAAAATGTCATATATTGCAACATATTGATGCATTTGTCATACCTTTCTACTTAAATTATTAAGCACTTATGGTTTAGATGTAATAATTATATGTAAGGGTAAATTTTTATTTTAGATATAAAGTAAAAAAAAGGAAGGAGGATGCAATGCTTTCTGCATTTGATGACAGTTTGTGTTCTTTCAAAAAAAAATTTAAAAAGGACTTGACACTATTTAAGTTTCCAAGGGGGAAGTGCATGTATCATGAAATGATTATGGACTTCAGTGCAGAATGTCCTCAATTCTGTAAATATGTATTTCCTTTTAATACAAAGTGTAATTTTGTGCCAGTGAAATGAAGTCTGCATAGTTATGTGTTTCTTTTTTTCCCTTAAAAAAGATTTTATTCAACTTTATAGTTTATCTGGGTATGTTGGATGCTTTGACAATAAATGACTTTATTTTCTTCAAAGCACTTGGATCGTTGATAAGTACTTATTTAGAAAGAGTGGCCTATCTAACAGGGTTAAGATGCTAATATGATATACTATAAAGGAGAAATGCATATATCATCCTTTAAAAATAGTGGGCAAGAAAAATAATTCAGAGTATATTAAACTTTCTAGTATAGCTCCCTTGTTTCTGAGCACAGTATAATTAACAGTGGTTCGATACAGCAGTGTTGCACCACTGTGTGAGGAGATCCACAGCTCCAGAAAGCAACATCTGATTATCATTTGGAAACATTGTGCTGATGTGTTGGGTTTCATGTTCAAAGGACAAAACATTTAGACAAGCATGCCTGCCATTTAGCTGACCCTTCGATGTCAGCTTTCTTTTCGGTAGCGGTGTAATTAGCATCTTCACAAATGGCTGGAGACAGATAATTTATATAACTAGATCTATAAGGAGGGTTTAAATTTGTTGTACACTCTGTGTGCCCGTGCAGGAATGACTGCAACATTTATGTCCCTCTGTCATAGCCATTAGGAGGCCAGTTGGAAATCCTTCTTTTAAAAGGCACCAAATTCATATGGGGTTTAGGCTTGCGTTTGGCTGGGATCTCGGTGCACAATACCTTATTTTGAAAAAAGCCACTGATGCTGAATGGCACCCTGGTAAATACAGCCCAGGCACCGCACTGTTATGTCACATAAGAGACGTGCTTTTAATACTTCCTGAAAAGAAAGAATATTAAATCGCCATAAATGTACTTTACTGATAGCTTTCCAATACTAACTAAAACGAACTAGACTAACTACCCGTGTCTTTAAAACCTTGTTAGCACAATATTAATTCTTTACAATTAAAAAAAAAAGGATAGAAAAATCCCAGGTAGGAAGACGAGGCTAATTCAGCGAATGGGTTAATCGGAATACTGCAATAACTTTAATGTGAACATGCTATTCTTCTAGGAATATATAAATATACACGACCAATTGTCACTCCTAGTCTACCTATGATGTCCCAGTGGACTTCTTGCGGTTCGGAATAGAACCCGGAAAAGTGGCAGATGTGTAATACAATTGGGAGGTTATGGTTTCCAGTGCGAAACCCCTTCCATGGAATGATATCCCTGGTAGCCTTGATTTTTAAGTACCTGCGGCCACTCACACAGACACCGTATCCCTGATGTAGCGGTGAAGGGCGAACTATACGCATTTCCCCCCGGTTAGGGAAGGTCTCAAACCTTCAGTGGAATTTCCACATCTTTTCTAATCAGTGAAAATAACTAGACACGTCTAGCCATCATCATCATCACAGATTTGATTGACACGAGTATTGACTAGATTAAGATCGAATCCTACCGCTTTATGAAACATACCAAGGGTTTAGTGGTGCCTTTTTTCCTTTCTTCTACTGTTACTTCATAATAAAACCAACTCTTTTCCCCCTCGTGCATGACATTTCCCTCTGTGTACAACGGTGGCTATGACTTTGGCCTGACTTCTTTTGTGTGGAAAGAAAACTGCCGTTTGTTTTGAGCCTCGTGTGCGTAAATCACCAAAGTAATGTCAATTTCCCTTCCCAGCGTTGGCCATTTTTTTTCTAGGCAATATAGGGTTGCCGGGGCTCCAAAGCCTGCTGAAGTTAGTCCATTGACATCAGCGGGCTCTGAACCAGATGGTGTCCGGGATGTGGGCAGAGCTGCTAAAGATCACTCGCTGGAATCCTTGGGAACGTGAATCAACCGTTACTCCGGCGTCATGTAAATGGTGTTAGACCGGGCTGCACTTTGTAAGCGAGGGTAGAATTTGGCTCCTAATCTGTTATTTAGGGATGCAAAAGCACCCATTGACGTCAGTGGGAGCCCAAGCAATACAGCATCTAGCATGTATATGTGACTGTTTGGGATTCCCTTTCACAGCTGCATGGCACACTTTGCACCGAGGTGATCAGCAGGAACAACTCTCAATAGCCTCGCCAGTCAAGCGAGGGCTGGTGCAGACAGAGGTTTGAGGGACACCTTTGCAAGAGAGACTCTTGACATCATCCAAACCGGGTCCATCCATGCCTCCAACCTATGCCAGGGGTAAAATAACAGCACTAAAAGAAAACCCCTGCAGAAAGCTTGACTGGGTGGAATGGTTACAAAATCTGTGTGTGCTCTGATTTGATATATCCGCTGCTGAAAAAGTCAGCATCGAGTGTAATTTGGTTTAAACACACACGCATTTATAAGCAGACGTAGTCGAATGATTCTACAATCGTTTGCATACTTTTTAGAACTGCGGATTTAATATAAATGACACACCACATGACCATGGGTACACAGCCCTGTGTTTTATTCCTTTAGTTTATACCCCAGTTAGAAACTGGAAAACACAACGCAAAATGGAAACTTTCGGCTAGCTACGTTCTTTCTTATCTGCTCATTTCATTTATCGCAGTCCCATCGGCATGTCCCCACACCGCTAGGGAACTGTCAAGCAGCTCTGTATCCCGGAATGATAAAGCAAGAACCCGAGCCTGCAAACTCGGTTTTTGTCTGGACTGCTCGCGAGCAGGGTTTGCACAGCGGGGCCTTAAATTCCACCCCTTCCCGGGGAGAAGCATTTAGCGCCCTCTTCCGCCCAGCAACAGTATCCTCAGGCCTGTTCTCTCCGTAGCAATGATCCGCGTCAACTCTCACCTCCCTATTCCCAGCCCCGGAAAAAAGCTTGGGTGGAAACCTGGCTGAATTGTAGTCAGTGGCACCATTCCTGTTGAATTCAGAGGGGGCCAGGATGTCACCCGCCGATGGAGATCCTTTTCTCCCCAGGTCGAAGAAAGGCCTTCGATTCTTTCTGCCCTAACCCTAAATCTATCTCAGCAATTACAGGCACTCAGCACAAATCTGCCTGCTTGGTCCCTTTACCGAGACTGATTTCCCAGGAGTGGATCTTCTTCTCTGTCCAGCACTACCCCCTTCATTACCCTTTGTTATTACCTCTCCCCCAAAAATGAGATCCCCCCGTCACAGCTCCCTTCCCAAACTCTCTGACACTGTACTGCCATGGTCTTGCCTTGGAGCAATCAGAAATACAGCTCTGAGCCCATATCCCTGTTGGGAGAAAAGCAGTTATTGTGTGAAACTGATTTATCGCAAGCCATTTCTACGGAGCCCAATTCCTGGCTTGTCTGGGGATCTGATTACTTGTTGAAACTAGATGTAAAATGTTTGCTTTGATGCATCCTTTAACTCCTAATAGGGGAATCCCTCCTTCCAGAGGACAGAGTTCCTCTCCGTATTTAGACAGCAGTACGGAAGGATTGAATGACCTGAAATAAATGATTCAGGGTCGAATTGAAACTAGTCACTAGGAAAAGGTCTAACGTGAAAATCCCGGAGCTGGAAACGGCCATCTTTCCCCCCTTTTAAAAATCCACTCAGCGTTTTTCATTTCATATTAACAATCTACCCCCCATTTCTCCCAGGTTAAACCCGGCAATATCCACTTGTTTGTGATCCAACCTTTTGCACATTCCTATCTAAAGAGGAATCTAAGAGTTCGCCCCCGCTAATACAAGCAGACACTTCCAGCTCTGAATGCTGCAGCAGCCAAGCAGAAGGCATCAACACAACATTAATGTTAATTAAACAGGAACAAAATGCTAGCCCGAGACAGCTTGCTTCTTGGGGAGTTTACTTTGCAAGGCTCTTGAAAATTTCGCGCAAAAAGGGAAGGCAGATCAGCAAATTGTAGCCCAAACTTTATCTCCAAACAACTGCATTTATCCATTCGCTTCTGCTTAACCGTTATAACTGGGGCAGTCTTTAAAAAAAATCCCTTTACCCTGGCGCCACATTGTGATTAGCATGTTTCTTCATTTCCCCATTCAAGATCTCCTTGCGTTGTTTTAACTCTATGGTCTCTACCGGGCACCTAAAGTCTTATATTTTTTAAAGTGATCGGATGATACCGCCCTTCAAATACAGGTCATTATGAAAAGATATAGGTATAGGCAATAGTCTGACGCTTTCAAGGTCTAGGGCACCAAAGAAAAATGAATACACTTCTATTCTTTAGTGGACTGGTGCTGTTGAAAATGACAACTCTCTTCGTATAGCATGAA